TTGATTGTACACATCTGTTCGAGACTATGTTGAGGATTCTGGGATATTATCTGTTGTTTGTTGAATTGTGTTTTTGACATTTGACACATTTTGGTTTTGAGAAAATGTGATACTGATTTCATGTGATTAAAAATGAAAAAAATTTGTTTGAAAATTTAGAGTGTTACAATCAAATATACATATAACACATATTTCCGGATATGAAGCATATAACTCACATATAAACTTTCAACATATATTTAATACTTTTACTAATACTTGTATTATAATCATGTTCACGAAAAGGATTATGCACTCACTTGTTAAAGTGACGACTTGAAATTTAGGCAGCACTTCGCTTCTAGTAATTGTCTTTTCCTTTGATGTAACATAGTATTAGTATCACTAAGTTTTAGTCTACTTTTTATTGCGACTAATTATTAGTCTAGATTCATTATTAAATCAAAGTCTACTTCAAGATCTATCATGTAAGGAACAACCAGGTATGATCATATCGGAGGCAGGGTCTGTTTGGTATACAAAATATAATGTTTAAAAATCCCATTTTAAACACCTCACTAAATCACAGCCTAGACATCATCCTCGTAACTAGATCAATCAATATAATGACTTGGAATCACTGATAAATCTTGTTTATAGGTTCATAATAACGATAATGAAATTAAACATAATTTATACTTAAAGTAGGGTAAGCATAATTCACTCACAAGGGAGGTTAGCAAGAAATTGGGCTCTACGCAGGCCGAACTTTTGAGCCGAAAACTCTTCTTCTCGGGGCTATTTGGCGCTCTGAGAATCGCTACTAATATCTAGGAGGTGCTTGGGAAAAGCCTTGAGGGATTGAGAAAACTTATCCATGATAAAAACTTACACTCCATCATTATGTTCCCAACTAAAATTGTACCAAAGATATTTATGTCATAATTATGTTCATATGTAACCCTTTCTCTTCTAGCATTGGCCTCCATTTATCCAACCAACCATTCAATATAAGCATAGTCTTTACCATCAATATAATGTTATCGACAAAAACATACAACAATACACATCTCCTTGAATCTCATGAGACATCTTATTCAATATTAAAGCGATTATGTAGGTATAAGAACTATTTATGATGAAGTCGGGTTTCACGAAGAAAGACTTCATATCCGTAACTAGGGTCGAACCCATATTTTAGACCGACAATAGCCCTAACGTATCTCCTTGAGACCTTTTTGGAATCTAGGGCCCTCTAAATCATGTCCAAGGAAACATCACCACAAGTCTTTTCTAGGTTGATAAACACCATACAAAGATCCATTTTTTTTCTATATTTGTCCATAAGGTGTTTAAGGAGATATATACATTGTCTTAGTCATCGATACCCCTCTTATTTTATTTTTGAAAGAGTTGTTTCACATCCCAACACGGTTTCCAAATGTGTCTCCTTTACTTCTATAGTATGACTATTGACTAGATAAATTTGATATCTATGGATGGTTACCGTATATCTATGGATGGTTACCGTAGTTTATTATTATATATAGTTTTTAATTTTTTTATGTCTACACAAACTTATGTTGGTACATTGGTAACACTCGTTATATATTTTGTAACTATTCTGGTTAGACCTTAGAAACATTTTTATTGGTAGTGTCATTTCCTCCTGTAAAAAAGGATCTTAAAATATCTACAACCAGGCTATGTGAGGGTTTCGTAACGCTTTTATCTTTTTATTATTTTGTCAAACTTTTTTGACAAATACTTATCTTGATAAAGAAAAAAAAAAGAAAAAACATAACCACTTGACGAGCATAATATAACAAAGGGTTGCACGTTGCAATTGGAAAAAGGATAAATTGCTTGAAAAGGACCAATCTGTTGAATCTCTCCATCAAAACAAACACAGAAAAGGTAAGTGAACTGAATCCAACTAATCTAACCCATCTTATTCTAGAAGAATTATAATTTTATTTAAAAAAGGGTTGTTCGTTACATTGTTGACTAGCTAGTAATAAATAAATTATTTATTTTGATTTTTTTTTTAATAAAACATGCAATCACAAAAAGCGGTTACACAAATAATAGAACACGCAATCAAATAATAATTATGCAAACAGCTAATGATTTGTACGAAATGTTAGTTTTTTTTTTTTTTCATTGAAAATGCTTTTGCTATTATTAGTATTTTAGTTTTGTAGGTGGGTTTTCTGAGCTGTAGCCATCTTTATGGCGTATTGGTTAATCTTTTTATATCAAATACGTAAACATAATCAATGACTTGAATATTTATTATGATTAATAATGCACAAAGGAGAATAAATCTGGATATGAATCTCACTAGAAAAAAAAGACATGATTATCCTGATTGCATTCCAAAAAGAAACAAGAAACTGTAATTTCATTAAAATTTAATTTAATGACCAAAGATCAAATATATACAAATATGGAAATTTTTGGATAGAAATTACAAATATCTCGCAGTAATAAAAAATGATCAAAATTAGAAACCACATACAAGGTTATTATAAACATTTTTGATTATACCATAATTACTAAAAAACCATTTAAATCATTAAAAAGAACAATTATTTATTTAAGAAATAAGGTTGTTGTCAACAGAGAAGCAATTGATTTTGACACTCAACGATTATCAAATCCAGAAAGCAACCTTTCATTCCACGGCATCAATACATTTTTATTTAGAACATGAACTGTCTTAATTTATTAAGTTATTAACTATAGTTTTAGAATAAATCAATAGTTTCAAAACATTCCAAAAAAAAGTTATTATATTTAATTTACGGGATTATATCTTTAACGAGGGGTAAAAATGGAAATACAAAAAAGTCACGCACTGACACAACGGCTTTTTCACGTCCAAACGGTTGGTTTTTTAAATATTTTATGTGACCATATTTGTTTGGTGCGTGGGATCCACTGATTCGGTGCAGTTCAATCACGCATAATCACCGCCGTTCATCTGCCCAATCGACTAATCCCATTTTCTCATTAAACATCCAACGGTCACGATCTAATCATACAACACGACGGAAAAGGTTATTTTCGTCAACCGAGATAGAAGCGTTGTGGTCTAGTGGAAAAGCGTTTGACGCCATTGCGTAAGAAGGCCCCATGTGACAAAAGTGTATTTAAACCCCTTGCTTTATGTTGTTATGCACTTTCATGCCCTCCTACTTTTTCTTTTTACATAAGAGTCCTTCGAAAAAAGTCATAGATGATTATATTCAACAACTAGGTAGTATTTGTCTTTCTTTGTTGGTGTGTAGTAGCTCTTCTCGCAGGTTATGAATATTAACTTATTTTTTTTGGTAATAAGTTAATTCATGCATTTTCAGTATTCATATAATCACATTACATGAATATCAATCTATTTTTTGTTTTGGAACGAAAACAATTTTATTAAAAATAGATACCGGCAAGGAGCTATATAAGAAAGTCAAAACATATATAACAAAATCGAACATATTATAACATCTATCGGTCCATTTAAGACTTGAAAATGCTGACATATGCCCAAACCAAAAAGAAAAAGAATTAAGTCGTATCTTGTCTAAAATATTAAGAATGGGCACAACAATTTGTATGGAGAACATCAAATAGCCGATTTCTAGCTTTTTATTATTTAGTTTGATGGCTATGTGTTTTCAAGATACAATCATACACAATAATTGATAAAACTAGGGGTGTAATAAAAAACAAAGCGGAATAACCAAACCGAACAAAATGGTATTTGGTTTATTTGGTTTAGGTATTTGATTTTTAGTTAATTTGGTTTGGTTAACCGAATCAAGATACTTTATATGGTTTGGTTTTGTTTAACTTTTTATTGTTTTTGTTAAACCGAATAAGCTATTTAATTAACATTTTATATATAAATTTATAGATTAACACTTAGATTTTAATAACTTATTATTTAGTTAGCAACCATTATAAATTTATAATTGTTTTATATTTTTGTATTCAAAATCAAAAACAAATTAACCGAAATGCCAATTAACCTTCAATAGTTTTTTTTTTTTTTTTTCTTCAAATGTGACTAAAACTATATTAACCTACTTACTTATGTATTTGTATCAATACTGCAAGACAACACATTGTGAAAGATTGAATATAACGTCATATGTTAGTGTATTTTCATTATTTGGTAAAAGTTTAACACATTTTTTCTTTTAGTTTAATGTTTATTTTTACATACGAAATTTTATTTGGTTTAACCATTAAACCAAACCAAATAAACCGTAACCGAATAAACAGAAACCGATTAAACCGAACCTTATTTGGTTTAATTATGGTTTGATTTAAAATATAAAAAACCAATAAAACCTAACCGAATTAACTGAAAACCGAAAAACATACATGAATAACACCCCTAGATAAAACATATCTTTTAAAAATTAAGGATTGAATTTGACAACCACGATAACATGTTGCGTGACAAATACGTTTGTGATGTTATGATATTTTATTTTCTTTCCTAGATGTTAATGGATCTCTTACGTTCTAGTTTGTGTTCTTGTGACCTAATTTATTTTTTAAATCATTTCCTATCTTTTCAAGTCACTACGTGAGTTTGATGCAAAAATTAATTATTTGGTAAGACTTTAATCACAAACATATGTGTTAATAATCGACATCATAACAAACAAAATAATTAACCAATAAACAATGAATATGAGAATAAAATTAGGAACTCAGATTGGCTTTGTTATTTGTACATAATACATAAACATTAGCCAATTGACATAAGAATTAAAGAATTAACCAAAGTAAAATTGGCAAGGTTATATGGACATAAGACATAAACATTGGCCAATTGACATAAGAATTAAAGAATTAACCAAAGTAAAATTGACGATGTTATATGGACATAAGACATAAACATTGGCCAATTGACATGAGAATTAAAGAATTAACCAAAGTAAAAGGCATAATGTCTAATTTTAGCTGTAAAACAATTTCTTTAAAGAAAATCATGATATCTTTTTTGCAGTGTTGTGGGCTTACAAGTTCCAATAAAGGAAAAGGGAAAAAGAAGAAGCATAGACAACTAAGGAATGGATACGTACAAGGAGTAGAAAGATATGGGATAAAAGCTTAAGGATCTCATCGGAAACTTTAGAAAACTTAAGGGGCCAAGGAGAAATTTACGCTTAATAAGCATGAAAGATCAAAAGCAACATCACTAGTGGTATATAATACAGCCATTGACGACAGTAATCAGAGCTTCCGCTTCCTTATTTGTTTACTTACAGCAAAAACCTCACACACCTACAATGTGTATGTGTGTGTGTGAAAATTTGTAGATCCGAAAATTTCACCGATGCTTGAGGAATTAAATTAAATAAATCACAGAAAACGACGGAAAAATCAATCTCAGTTCAGAAGAATCAGTCCTTTTGTCTCTCGGATCTGCAACAATGTTAGATGGATTGCTTGGGCGCAGTGGTTTCAGCTCCAAATGGTTAGATTCCTGCATATAAACTCTTTATTTTTGTGTTGTGTTTCTGAAACTGAATCGCCTTATTTGATTTAAATCACATAAGAATATAAGATAGACGGATATAGTAGATTAGTTACGAGATCGGCGATGTTGAGATGATGATGTTTGTGTGTTTTGAAGTAAATCATTGATTAAGCCGACGAGGACACGGATAGGGGCGTTGCGGAGGAGGGCGGAGGCGAAACAGAGATTTTTGAAGGAAGATCTTGCGAAATTACTTGCTAATGGCCTTGATGTTAATGCATATGGAAGGGTATTGATTTCGAATTTTGATTTAATTTATCCAATGCATGCAGATGTTTTTAAAGCTTCATGTTCTTTATCTTAGTTTGTGTGTGGTGCCTACGTTCAGATTGAGTCTGTGTGTGTAAACGAAATTGAGCTTGAATATTATAATTTCCAGATGATAAATTGAGAAATTAGGGATTGTAGTTCACATTATACAGAGCAGTTTTCTGTTTTCAAGTTGTAGCTAATATAAATATAAAGTAATCTGTTTATTTAATAAACTTTTTTATTATCATGTTGAGAAAATGCTACAACATGATGCATAAACTCTTACACTTTGTTCTTGAAATTGGTTTTATGGGACCAAATGATAGGCTTTAACTACTTTAGTATTGTTACACCTAAAAAAGTGTTTTCCTCTTTCAATTTAGGAGAAAAAGGGAGGGAATGGATAGCTTTTTTGTAAATTTTATAATGATATAAATCTCCCTTTTATTTGCTTCAGAGAGGGAGACAAAAGCCTTATAATATAATCATATATTTGCAATGTTGTAAAGCCACATGCTTTCTTTTCCTTTTTGCTTTTGTTTTCATGCATATGTTTGTTTGTGATTTCATTCTTATGATAAACTCTAACTGAAGTTCTGTTTCATATGAGGCTTTATACAGACAGAAGACTTCATTGCTGGATTGAATCTGTTATCTTGTTATAATTTCATTGATCAGTCATGTGAATATATTCTGAAGCAGCTATCAGTCATGCAGAAACTAGGGTATGAAGAAAGATTACAATCACCATACTCTTTTCCTACTTTTATGCATACTTTATACAATGGAATTGGAATTTGAGATTCCATTCCCACTTAACATTCCTATGTTTGACTCATTCAGGCAATGTCCAGAAGAGTGTAGAGAGACTGTTGCATCACTGATGTTTGCTGCTGCAAGATTTTCTGATCTTCCTGAATTACGTGACCTCAGGGATGTATTTCAGGAGAGATATGGGAATGGTTTAGAATGCTATGTTAATCAAATGGTAGGTCAATATGTGAATGAATTAATATCATTCATTCATAAACATTCTTATTTTATTTTATTTAATTTTTTGTAGTTTGTTGAGAAGTTAGCCTCTAAACCTCCTGTTGTGGAGAAGAGAATAAAGTTACTGCAAGATATAGCAGCAGAGTTTTCAGTTCAGTGGGATTCCAAAGGATTCAAACAAAGGATGGATTCACCCTCCACACTTGCTCAGGTACTTTGCTTTTTGTCATTTATTATGATTAGGATGTGGAGGGCATTTACGTCTTTTCTATCTTACGAAATCATTTCCACTTATTAAAACAAACTGCAGGATCAAGTAAGGAAATCTGTAGCTTTAAACACCACTGATGAAAATAATGATTTTCGGAAAAATGATCATCGATCTAAAGAAAGAATAGAGCATATTCCCCATAATCATGGGAGTGTAAATGTTAGGAGGAAAGAGGTGTTTGTGAGAACAGAAGAAAAACATGCTCAGGTAAGGCTCCTGATTTTTAATTTGGAGTAAATTACGTTTTCAGTCCCTGTGAAAAGACCATCTCCAAGCATATAACACCATTCTTTGGTTTAAGATTTTCATAAATACCCCCTTTGTATTTTTTAGCTTTTACATATTTGTCTTAAATCAACAAACCGCAGGAGCAAGCAATGAAATTTCGAGCTTCAAATGTCACTGATGATAAGTACAAGGTAGGAAATGGACATGGGAAAAATGATGAGCGTTCTAAAGATAGAGTTGAGCAGGGGCCCACATCGCACATTCCATTTCCAGCAAGAGAAGAAGAGGCCCCATTGGATATCCCGTTTGTGGGAAGACAAGAAAAACTTCACAATCTCAAACACCAAGTCTATTTGTCTAATCCAAGGCCGGAATCCGATTCCAGGAACACCGGAATCGGAAACAACCATATTCCAGTTCCAGCCACTTCTTATCTCGACAGAAGGCCAGAACCTTTCGTTATTGATAAAGTCGACAGAGGAAGAAAAGAAAGACACATCAGAATGCCACAAGTCAACGGAGAAAAAGAAGAATATGTTGAAAAGTCAACAATAGGGAAAGTGCAAGAGAAGGAGGAAGAACCAGTTAGGCTGTTAAAACCCTGCTACAACAATACTCCTCCTCTTCCACCACCATACATTATCAAATCAAACGTCCCACCACCATACACCAAACCCCACCACCACCACCAACCTCCATCCGACCTCCTGCCGCCACCCATCTCTAACTCCGGGAGGAGGAACAAAGAGCAAAACCAAAACGACATGCCTTTACCTTTACCTTTACCGAAACCAAGATCAGTGAGAAGAAAACACTCGAAATCATCATCTAGTCATGACGATGTAGGAAGCTCGGAAGATTCTAGAATCGTGAAGAGAGTTTCTAGTAGCAGAAGAAAAGAAAGAAAAGGGTTACAGATATTATTTGATGATGAGCATTATCACCATAAAGCTAAAGCTAAAGACGAAGAGGAAAAAATGATGGATAAGTTATTGTTACATTATAGTAAAAAACCATCGGCTTATGATCATGGGAAAGTAAGGAGGAAAAAATCAAGCAAATCTCCTCCTGTGAATGATGATGAGGTGGAGGAAACGAGTGTTAGTGTTCCTCCCATGAGATCGATTTCGCTTCCTCATGAATCGGATGGGAATAGTAAGAAGAAAGTGTACGCACGTGCTAATTCGTTTCAGCCGGATAATCAGGCGCCACATGTGCATCCTAAGTTGCCGGATTATGATGATTTGGCGGCTAGGTTTGCGGCTTTGCGAGGGAGGTGACTGTTTGTTTCACTAGATGAGTGTAGAGTTTTACTGGATTATATCTATTTACATGATGAAATTTGAGACATCTTCGTGTTAACATATTTACATGATGAAATTATGAAAACATTTGATTCATTCATTCATCGACCACAATCGCTATTATTCATGGAATTTTAAACATGCAAAACTAGAACAACAATGAACCTGTAAATATATAGTAATACTCGATGTGCATGATTAGGGTTAGACTTTGGTTATTCAATTCACATGGTGTACTTAAATTACAAAAATTTAAAATATAATCCAAATATGATTCTATGTTATGTTTAGGTTCTCTTGGTGAATTAAGAAGTTTATATTTTATAAGGACGAGATATAATAGATACTTTTATCGAGAACTAAGGTGAATGGATAGTTTTAGATTTTGTTCTTATACATGAAAGAAATTCAAAACCAAAGCATGAAAGTAAATTTAAGGAAATGTACTTGTGATATAACTCTCCTTAAGAAGTAGAACAAAGCTCACTTCACTTATAAGGTTGATTAGTTGGCGAGTTGTCATCACCAGCCCCATATCCTCCGGTAGCCTCCTACCAGCACCCAATTTTGGTAGGTGGAACAATCGACACACCTTTAACCAAAAACAGTTAAAAGAAAATACTCAAAATCATCATTAGCCACGACGATGTTCAAAGCTTGGAAGAATTGTAAGAATCGTGTAAGAGAGTTTCTAGTAGTAGAAGAAAAGAAAGAAAAGTGTTACATATTCGTGGTCCTCCAGGAGATTGAGGTTATACAGAATGTTCGTGTGGTTTTGAATGATGAGGTTATATAGAATGTTCGTGGTCCTCCATGAGATTGATTTCTCTTCCTCATGAATTGGAACCTAAGAAGAAAGTGCATGTATGTTCTAATTCGTTTCATCCGGATAATCAGGCGCCACGTGTGCATATTAAGTTGCGTGATTATGATGATTTGTTGGCTAGGTTTGCAGATTTAAGACGATGAATGTTTGACTTGATGAGTTTAGAATTCACTAGATTATATTTGGAAAATCTAATTATGTTTATGAAAGAATGAATGCATGTGACATTTTTACATGATAAAACATTTTATTGATTGATCGTAACTAGATGGAATTAGCTGCGCTCTACCTTTGTCACTTTTTATTTATTTATTTAAAGGCTGTACTAAATAAGAAAGCATATTATAATTGTTGCGAAAGGATATTAAATATATGGAGGGGATGTTCATATGAGTTACATAGCACATTATATTTGGAAAATCAACATAGTTGAAGGTAGCAAAAGATTATATATATGAACATGCAATAAACATAGAAACGTATTAGAGGTGAGAATGGAGGTTTTTGATTTCCTTTTTGAGACTTTGCTCATATTTCTTTTGCATGTCGTGCATGGTCTTGATCAGTTTAGCGGTCTCATAGCTGTTGTCAAGGATGAGTTTCTGCATCTTTACGTACTTGTTGTACGACAGTTTGGGGTTTATGTGCTCCAAAAGTTTTTTTTTGATGTTCCCATGCTTCTTCCACAGTTTCTCTGATTGTTGGTGGACGATAAGAGTAGTCAGGATGGTTTCCATTTGTTGTGGCTTCAATTTTCTTTTGGAAGGGGTATTTATGGTGTAGATGGCAGTGGTTTGAGAATGTTGGCTGCCTGCTTTATATTTAATATATTGTTGTTGGATAGTTAATGGATGTGTTAGTTTCCGAGATGTTGACGGTGTATGATTAATTATATATGTGTAAGAGATGAAACCTATGGCCGTCGTTTCAGAGATTTGTACGAAAGATTTTGTTTCCTTTATTACGTATGATTTCCTTTGAATTTTTTTTTATGTGCATATATTGCACTAACGTTTTAATATAAGTTAATTAAAATACATATATAATGTAGTCAATATGTTGATAGGGAAACATATATGTTATGATGTTATTTGAGTCCTACATGCAAGTTGGTGTGACTGAAATACAAAATTTGACATATTTTAAGCATGTGATGAAATGATGACAAAATAAATGGACAAGCAAACACACATTTTTTATGTCATAACATAATAAGTAAGACTATATATTTACTTCATGGGAAGGTTGCCTGGAACTTTGTTTAATATTGTAATAGTTTCATTCATTTCTTCATCTAGTGCTACAATCATGTTTGTTGCTTTGGTGTCAAACGCATCTTTGTTGTTAAGGATTTCTGCTGAGATAGCGTTGTTGAGAAAGTATGTTTTTTCAGATATTGCTCTTGTTAGAGTCTACGTTTCCGTTTTATCGACCGGATGATGTTTCTTGTTTGTATCTTATGGCGGACAATTGTGTCCATCATGTATTGAACATCGCTACCCTTCATGATGGTTTTGATCGTTGTTTTGTGAAATTGTTGTATGGGGCATGTTTATGTTTGTTGTTGAACGTCGTATTTATAGTGGGTATGGAAGACTTTTCTTGCACAAAAGCGGTACCGAAGGTAGAATCTAATACCGGGTAGAAATATTTTTTTTCCTAATACAAGTTCCAGTAATAATTGTTGCCTCTAGCACGCTTGACAGTAACTGTGAAACCATCAACTGTGTTCCATTGCATAAACTTTCCTTTTGGTTTATGTTCCGAACACATGATGGGTGTGTTAATTTTCAGTGATAGTGAATGTGTGGGTATGTTAGGGAAAGTGAGGGCATTCAGATATTCCAATGGATAGAAAGTGTTAAATTTTGTAGTTTGGTTGCCATTCAATTCGATACTATTAGCACTTTCATATATCTTTGAATGCCCATGACTTTTCTGCAGAACTATGTAGTTTATTTTTTAGATTGTTTCCTTTTTAGGAGAGACAATTGCTCTACCAGATAACGCAGTAGCAGAAGGTTTTGTTAGAATACCATCTCCATATACAAAGTTTATAAGGGTCCCTAACTCATTTTCTGATGGAGGTATAATGAGGGAATGAAGGATTTCAATCTATATGGTATTTTTTTTATTGAATGCATCAATTTCACTAATAACCCCATCTCCAATCTTTAGTAAGCAAGATGCAAACTCTGGGACACGTAAGTCTGTGTGCAGTGACTTGGAGAAGTTGTTAAGTCGCATATTATCATTTAGTTTATATGTGACAACCTGAAATTTATTCCGTCGCCGTAACCTGTTTTCCATTAATAGAACTCGTTCTTATTAAACTTTTCCGTTAACATTGTCATCAGACAAATTAAAATTTGAACTTTTATTATGACTTCATAAGGATCGAAATAAATTAGAAACACGGAAAACACCCTCAATATTCTTTTAAAAACTTTTAGTTACAAACAAGTTAAAATACGACCATTTAATCGGGTACGACCATAAGCCCCGTTTAACGTCGGTATCGGGTAGACTGCACCTGGCCACAAACTCAAACCCTATATAAGGGTTGAGTGGTCACCAACTTAGACTTTATACCACTCTAGTCACACTCTCTCTACTCTCTCTCTTCAAGGTCCGATTCTTCCAAAAATCCGTAAGTTTCCGCTCCTAAACTGTAAGTTCTCTTACCCTAGATTGTTCTAAAACTCATTACATGTCAATATAGCTTGAAAATCATCCAAGAAGGCCAAGAAAAAGGAGTTTACGGCCCAAGAACCCTCTTAGGCCGTAAACCCCTAAAAATGTGCCAAAATGCCCCCAAATCTCTTCCTTAGGCTTAGAGGCTAACTTAGAACTTACCCTTGAAGTGTTTTAGACACTAAACTTTAAGTTTGGAGGCTTAAAAGAGGGTTTATGGCCCATGAACACTCTTAGGCCGTAAACTCCCTCAAATTATGCAAATTGAGCCTTTAACCCCCTATTTAGCCTTGGACCTTCACATAGAAACTTGTAGGAGTAAGCTAAGGACCTCAAAAACGATGTATAAGGGGTGTCCAAGGGTTTACGACCGTAAACCATGGGGTTCACAATCGTAAAATCCCAAGGAGTGGTCCTAGGACCGCAAACTCCAAGGGAGTGCCCCTTTTGAACCCTAAACACCCCTCAAGCCTTGGAATTTACCTTGGAACCCTTCCTAGTGATACAAGAGACTTAAAAGCACAAAAATACACTCCTCCCATGAGTTTACGGCAGTAAAATCATGGGGGAAGTGGTCCCTCAACCGTAAACTCACCTAAGGTGAGTATTTAGGAGTAAACTCCATGGTGAGGCCTAACACTCCTTCCTTGCAACCCAATAGCCTCCTAGCACTTTACCAAAGAGGTTTTCTTCACATTAGGATGCCTATATGTGTTTAATTAGTGTCTTAATCACTAATTACATGTAAACATATGTCTTCATATGTTACTAGGGTCATAAAGTGTGGTCAAGTCTTCACTTGACGCCAAGCGCTCACCTGACACTTCCACCAGATCTACTCACTACAGGTGAGTTCATACCCCTTAATTAACCTTTTCAACTGTTTTACATGTTTTAGGGGGGGGGGGGATACAAGTTAAATACAACAAGTTTTAGTATCAAATCATATGTGATTTATAGCTTGCAATCAAAAAGGATTTTTCTATACTTTTAGCTACGTGTCAACAAAACTGTTTTAGATCATTATCAAACGCATTTTCTATGTTAAATTGTTATTAAACTAGTTTCAAACTGTTTTTAAAACTACTTTTCTTTTAAACTATATCTACACCAATATATTTATATAAGTAAGACTTGAAGGTTTAGGACCGATGGCTCGCCTTACTTCATGTTCTTGTTTGATTGTGGTCTTAGGGTATATTGTTATCCGTCCGACTGTCGTTGAATTCTTAGTTATATATCATATATATTGGTGTTAGATATGAAGGTCTTCACCTTATTTAATACCTTTGTAGATCAAAGGCATGCAAACCCACACTCTATTTAACTATAATAGGTATAGTTAAGACTACTGCTCATTACCTCTATTATTATGACACTCACTATAATTACTACTATTACAAGTTAATGCATGTTAAAGAGAACACTCTATATGCTACACTAAAAGTTCACTATACTATAATACAAGAGAATACACTAATCCAGAATATGACACACTATCCCTTTATACGGTACTCTACTGCGCAAATACCATGTAACCTGAGCTTCCCGGAAGGAAAGCAACATTACATGTATAGATCTATACAGGACGGACGCTATTACATCCCGACTGCTCACTACAGTTCGAGCCAACTAGGCCCAGGGATGACAAAACATCGCTTCACTACGTATGACCGGGAAGGTCATCAGACTCTCTATTATCACTCAGATTGGTTACATGAGAAATCTCATCCATATCCAAATCAATAC